GTACTCTTTGTTAGGCCTTTTGAGACATCCCTACGTATAGGATAAGCCTTGTTTGTTTGTTGATAATGGTTTCCTTAGTCGAGTCTGTAACTGTAGCATGTTTCGTAGCAAAGTTAGTTGTTCCTAACCTCATTTTCTTATGCTACTGCAGCCGAAATCGATGGCTTCAGAGAGTACAGTGGTCTTCCTTCTGATTGGGCCTTGGTTGCTCCTACGCCTAAAGACGACTTACGTCATCCTCCTAAGGGTTGTTTTACTTGTTTTGTGGATCAAATAATGTCGGGATTGCGTTTCCCGATTCAACCTGAGTTGCTGTCGCTAAGTAACCTTTACGATATACCAATAAATCAGTTCACCCCTAATTCCATCCGAATAATGATGGCCTTCATAGTCGTTAACCGCATAGTTTTGGGTAATTTTATGCCCGAGTTTTTTCTTTACTGTTATGGGTATAGGTTTAGCAAAGACGCCCATTGTATGGGTCGTCGAGTAGGCGTGTCTTTACTTGATGATCTTTCTTCCAATATCACCAAATGGAAGAAGAAATATTTCTTCATTCTGTTCGTAGGATTTTTGTGGATATTTGGTAACCGAGTTACCCGACCTCGGGTCGATCTCAAGGAAGGTCGTTCGGAGCTTTGTTTTTTATTGAATTGTCTAAATACAAAAATGAGAAAGTAAACTTAAACATTCTACTCCATTTTGATGTGGTTTTATAATTAATTAAAATTCTTAATTTAATTTAACAAATATAAAATGAAAAGAACAGTGAATAAACAACAGTAAAATAATAAAATTGGTAAATGGGTAAAAAAAAATAAAGATGAGGAAAGTGTTAGGGAATCGGGAAATAATTGTATCAATTCTAATGATAACTTCGAATTTTTAATCATTCAGTTAAATGATTCGATAAACACACTAATTTAGAGGTTTATATTCCATTCAGTTACGAGAAAGAATATAAACATAAATCAACGTATTCGCGTACCACTTAACATATAAGCAATACAGTTACGTGTAAACTTATTTATTTCGAGCCGTGATCAATCAACTTCGCCATTTTTGGGTTAAAAGTCGATTAAGTAGATTTAAAAGAATGTTTAGTTCTACTTAAATCATAAAAATAAATATAACTCGAAATAATAGGAACAATCAAATATTCATCATCATCATCGAACCGACACAATCATTTCCCTATCCCTAACGAAGAATTTAGTCTGTCATGATTTTATTGATACAAATAATAAGAATAATTCAAGCTATCGTTTTACTCATAAAAACTTTCGAACGATAACTTACGATTACGATTAAAACTTGACGTCAATATATCACTTAGAACTTTTAGGAAAATGAAAATAAACAACTTACAAGATTAAAACCGAGCTTGCATGCAAAGATCAAACTTGAAAAATATCAAGAACACTAAGAACACTCTTGGAAATATTACAAAGAAAAGAGAACGTTATAGCTAAGAAAAGTGAAGTTGTACATAACATGGTGAAGAAGTGAATGAATTAAGATGGTAATGAAGGTGGTTTATATAGGGTGAAAAAATCCTTAATTTTCTAACTTATGCATAATTTTTCTTCACCCATTCATCAACCATTCTTCACCCATCCATCAAACATACCTAAAAGACCCAATTTTCTCATCCATAATGGTTGTTAACTCAAAATATTGATATAGGCTCAGAAAAATCTGAAAAAAAAGGTGCAAGGACCGCTGGGCACGGCATGGCGCGCGTAGGTGCGCGCAGCGCGCGGGCAGCAGTGCACGCATTTACGTTTTTGGCTCGTTCGGGCTCGTTTGAACTCGGAATTGAGTTCCTTTTTTTCTACGCGTTGCTAACGAACCCCTCTATTTAATGATGTATGCCAATACAAATTTTTCCCAGAATACAATTATCTAAGGATTTTTAACTTTCAAGGTTTCGGCAACTCTCTCAATTTTATGCTTCGGTCCCACACGAACTCATCCGAACTCGAAATCGAGTTCCGCTTTTTCCTGTGTGTAGCTAACGAGCTCCTCTTTCCACTAATATGATCATGCCCAATAACCTTTCAAAATCCTGCTCTTCCGAGATTTTCGAC